CCATTTGACCAATATCACTAAAGCATGAATACTTTTCCTTATCTTTTAATTTCTTCTCCTGAGATAAGATTCTGGTCTTGCGTCTTCCAATACAACTTGCCGAACCATGCCTTCCATATCCTTCCCAAAAAAAAAAAAAGAACAAAAAACTAATGAAATTAGGATAAAAACTTTGTGTTTTAATCAAAAGATAAAAATGTAAAAACCAATGAAAAAGCTTAAAAAAGTATTTTTTTTGAGTAATCAAAAGGATAAAAATGTGTTGTAAGTGAATAGTACCAAGAGTGACTTTTTAGAGTAAAAATGTATTTTTCGTTAAAAGTGAACAGTACCGGAAGTATTTCGTTAAAACTCTTTAAAAAAAATTGCCAGATCCATACCTTTTACATTCTTGATCCATAAAAAGAACAAATTAATTAAGCAATTCATACAATACTAGTTAATAACATTTCCTTTCATGACAACAAAAATTATAACTAAAGCGGTGAAGTAGGTCTTTCACGGTGATTTGACTAAGTGTGATATCAATGTATAGAAATCAGTCGGTCTAAGGTTGATATTTGTAACAATATTGCTACAGTAGTCAGTTCAATAACTGTTGAGAGTCATAATATTTTTACGAAATTAGTTTACAATTATCACATTTGTAGAGTAAAAAATAATCAAGAAAAATATGGAAACAATACATGAATTCTAAGATATAAAAAAGATAAAATTACCCTCGAAGCACATCGAAATTTTTACGTCCCCCCCCGCGACAAACCTAGCTTCAAACCCCGCACCTATCAAAGTCCACACCACAAACCTAGGTTCAAACCCCGAACCTGTCAAAGTGGCCAGGCACTACCAGGCACTATGCTGCAATGCATGAACCTGTCAAAGTGGCCACACCTGTCAAAGTGGTCAGGCACTGTGCTGCAATGCATGAACATGTCAAAGTGGCGCACTGTGCTGCAATGCTCAGTTGGAGCATTTCACATGCGCCGGAGGGATTAGTCCTTAGACCTAGGAAGCCTTTGGATACTCATGACTAAATAAAATAAAAAAAACCATCCAGTTAAAGCGAAAAATGAGAAAAAGTAAAAACTGAAAACGGATCTCTTCTACTGTACATGAGTTGGGCGAGCCTTTGAGCTCTGCCTGATTATAGCATGGTGAATTCAGGAGTTTGGATAGAGTGGGGTGCTGTGTTTTGATGTCATTTGAAATGAATGAACTTTTGAATTTTCTTTAACTTTTGCGGGCTGCAGCTTCTCTTGGGGTTTGGATGAAGAAAAAATGTTTAGAAGACTTTTCATTATTTTTGCTGACGAAAAAAATATCACAATCATGAGTTTAAGAGGAAATTGTGGCAATGATTCTTTAATTTTAACTTAATTAGAGTAATGGTCATGGTCATTTTCTTCAACTCTATTAGAATTTTCGTTAAAATGAGTCATGTGCCTTGCACATGAGGTTGAATCGATGAGCAAATATGAAAAATCCAAATGAGAAAAATTGCAGTAATGGCCTGTCAACTTTAACTCAACTAGAGAAATGATATATCAACTTTAACTTGATTAAAGCAATGATCCCTTAATTTTAACCCGATTGTACTAATGGTCATTCCAACATAACTCATTTTGATAGAATTCTAACGGAGTTAACGAAAATGATCATACATACACGTTTTGATGAGTTAAAAGACCAATGATAATTAATTTTTAGTTGAGAAATCATTATTTCAATTAAATTAAAGTTATAAATATTTTTAGATTAAAATGTTCATAAAATTAAATTATGATAGTCTACGTATTTTTTTTAAAGTTACTTTAAGAAAAAATTATCCTAAATTCATTATTTGATCGTCTCGGGCTAAAAACTTAACCCATAAGGGTTGTAGCAGAAAAATTGTTTCTGAATTAAAACCTAAATTTATGGGTTAAAATTTGTAAGTTTTAACTTAAGAGTTGGAGATGATCTTAGTGTCTAAAGCTCAAATGAATAAAAGCAATTTTCTTGTTCTCCATGTTTGGTTACTGAGAAAATGTAACTTTACTGATTCATTAATCTTCAAAATTATTAACTGAAAAGCTAATTGGGCTCTACCAATTTGATCACTCTATAGGAAACTAAACAGACAATGGCTTCAACGGAACAATCACTAACAGCTAAATACGTAACTAATAAAAGGGTTTCGAACAGACCAAAAATACATAAAAGAATCAGAAAAATTATTGTAAAATACTAAAATTAGATCCAAGAAGAACTTGTTATTTTGCACCTGAAGCTTCTTAAAACATATAAAACACCGCAGTACTCTGTCTTTTTTTTTTTTAATGGAAATTTAAGAAATAGTCAGTATTTAGTTTTAGAAATAATCAGTGCTAAGTTTAAGAAAAAATGATAATACAGTGTTCAGTTTAAGAAATAATGAGAGTACCCGTTTTAGTTTTAGAAATACAGTGTTCAGTTAAGTCTTTTTTAGTTTTTGTGAGAGTACGAGACGTCAATTTTTGTTTTTAAAATTATTATATTAAACTTTTGTCCTTTTTATTAAAATTTAAGTTTTTTTTATTAAAGTTGGTCAACTTTATTAAATAAAGTTATTATGATGTTTGGTCACTAAAAAGTTGGAGAAATCATTTTCATTAAGGTTCACTTAAAATTATTGATACCACAAACACAACGTGATATTGTTTACTTCTAGAGTACAGTAATAAAAAATAAATCTCATAAGATTTTCAGTGAAATAGCAACACCGAATACGGTTGTGTTCCAGATACTTACTTGTGTCTGGATAGGTTGATCTCGTTTTGAGGTCAATTTGAACTTTAACTACAAAGAGAATAAATTATAATTATTTTTTAATACAAGCGATATTAAATCATATAAAAAAAATTATAACAATGGTACCTCAACTTTAACCTAATTGGATTAATGGTTCATCAACTAAAAATCCATGAACATTAGTCTCTTAACTCTTTAAAACGTTCAACTATAGTCCTTTTTTATCAACTCTGTCATAATTCGATTAAAGTGAGTCGTGTTAGAAAGATCATTTCTACAATTAGGTTAAAATTGAAGAGCCATTGCTCTAATTGAGTTAAAGTTGATGAACTATTTCTCTAATTGGGTTAAAATTGAGGGACCATTTCCACAATTTTTATTATTTGGTTTTCTATATTTGCTCCTTGATTCAGCTTTATGTGCGTGACACGTGGTTCGTTTTGACAGAAGTTTTAACAGAGTTGACGAAAATGATCATAGATACATGTTTTGATGAGTTGAGGGACCAATGATCATGAATTTTTAGTTAAGAGACCATTACTCTAATTAAGTTAAAGTTGAAAAATGATTGATACAATTTCTTCTTAATCATACTATCAATGAATACAAGGTTTTTCCTTTCACCAAGGTAAAAGTCTTTTACCTTCACATTCTTATACGTCCCCCTCCCGTGTGGCCCTTTTACCAAGGTGGAACTCTTTTACCCTTTCACCAAGGTGTAACTCTTTTACCCTTCACATTTTCACGTGCCCCCTCACGTGTGGCCCTTTCACCAAGGTGGAACTCTTTTACGTTTACATTCTCACACGTCCCCGCACATGTGGCGAATTTTTAAGTCAAACATGTGGACAACACGAATTGGGTGACGTGGAGCACGTGTGACCATTGGGCTTCATACGTGAACCAACTTGCTCTGATACCATGAAGAAAGTTGAGATTCCACCATAAACCAATTGACAATATAGAGAGTAACTTAACTGCTTATAAGCACATGCAAACATGCAAAGTCCTACATCTCATCAATGTAAGATTCATTTTCTAACACTATTCATTTTTTTCTCGTCGTGTACTTTACTAACTACAATAAAAGTTGTCGTAATAAGTCATTTTCCACACCTTAGTTTTGAACATGAAATCCCCCTTCAAATTTTCGAGTATAGTAAATTGGAATAGAGGAGGTATATTAAATGTTACTTCTCATCACCAACTTTGAAGAGAGTTTAATATCTTTAGTCCTAGTCATACAGTAACAGTACTTGCCATCAGTACTGGTCCACTATCAAGAAAAGGGAGAAGGAAAATTAGTACCTAAAAATGATGGCAAGTATGAAAGTAAAAGCCGGGAGGAGCTTACAACAATCGACGAATACAAAAGATATTGACTGAAAAACAATAGGACGAAAATACAAAGGAAATGGACGGATTATTGAACAAACGACAATCGACGAATACAAAAGACATTGACTGAAAAACAATGGGACGAAAATACCAAGATATTGACTGAAAAGCAATGGGACGAAAATGCCAAGATATTGACTGAAAAACAAGACATTGACTGAAAAACAATGGGACGGAAATACCAAGGAAATGGACGGATTATTGAACAAACAACAATCGACGAATACCAACAAAAGACTTTAATATTGACTGAAGCAATAGGACGAAAATACCAACAAAGGACTTCACTAAAATGCCGGCCAACTAAACTAAACTAGTTTATATTTTATATTTTAATGTTAAATTTACTTTTAACAACTCCTAAAAAAAATTTACAAGTGCCAGAAAATGGATTTTGTCGCAACCCTACATAAGAGCATTTTTCAAGATGTAAATTCTATTTTATATTTTCGAGAAAATATAAATGTGAGTTTGTTATAAGGGGAAAGAGGTAAATTAGGTTTTTATTACATTTCTTGGCCAAGATGGATATTTTCCACTCTTCATTTGAAAGTTTTCCGCGTAAAATAATCATTCCCAGGCATCTTGCATTTCATTAGAGGTGCTCTTAGTTGATCAGTTTTCTGGATAAGTACAACACTACTTCCAGAAAACCAGTTTCTTTTTTGTTCTTGGTTCTTAGAAATATCCTTATATTTTGCCCGTCATACAAATATAAAATGCAAATATTTGTAAGGCCAAATTACGTACTTTGATAAATACCAATCCAAGTTGGAAACTTGGCACACACGCACTACACACAGAAAAATATAAAAGCAAAGACTCGGTCACCAAAAGACTTCAATAGCATCAATGCCGTCCAGCTGAACTAGACAAGTTTTTATTTTATATTTACTTTGTCAACAGCTCCTCAATAAATTATACAAGCGCCAGCCAATGTAATCTTCCGCAACCCGAAATTTATAAGAGCATCTCCATGATGCAAATTGGAGATGGACAGAACCGTGACTTGACAATCTTAAATGAATTAGTCCTTCTTGACTACTATATATTATATGTAAGGCAGTCTACTAGGGTTTCCCGGCTGCATGAATAATCTAATTGCATCAATGCAGCTCCTCCAATTTGATGCAAAAGTGTTACTGTCCCTTGTGTTGCTAGGGTTTATAGGATTGGTGGCACGTCTCTACAACGGGCTTGTTGCGAAGCCAAAGAGGCTTCGATCCTTGCTAACCAAGCAAGGAATCAATGGACCTCCACATACTATTCTCCTGGGAAATATTTTGGAAATAAAGAAGGCTCGAGGCTCCAGCAATCCTACAAGTGAATCCCCGACCTCTCACAACTGTGCTGCTCTTCTCTTTCCATTTTTTGAGAAGTGGAGGAAGCTATATGGTATCTATATGCCTATAATTATACATTTAGTATTATGTTTGTGTCATGATCCTCCTCATCACATATGAGGACAACTTCCATGTTGAGGGAAGTTGAGGTTCAATCATAAGCAATATTAGGCGTAACCTAACTCCTTATAATTTTATAAACTCTTACAAGGTTTTTCCTTTATCTGATATGAGACTTCCATTCCACATCCTAACACATGTAACATTTCCGACATATGTTTCTATGTCTTATCCCTGGATACACTACAAAAGTTTTCTACGTACTTGGGGAAGCTATATTTTGTATATGCATATATAATATAGGATGAATTGCCAATTTAGTCCATAAATTATCACCTAAGTGAAAATTAGGTTTCTAAACTTTTTTTTTTTCCTTTAGAAAAATTAGTCCTTGAATTATAAAATCTGCCAATTACATTCCTAATATAAGATTTGAAACTACCATATTCAATTTTCTGTCAATTTAAGTCACGTTACTTGCATGTGATACACATTAGATGGTAGATTGGTAATTTTACATAAAGAAATAGTGTATGGAGTTAACTTTGGAGGGTAAATTAGACATTTGATTCGCAACCTATATGAAACGTTAAGGGCTTATAGGCGAGAAAAAGACAGTATTACACACTAAAGTGTGTCAAGTGACTTAAGTTGATGAAAAATTGGATAAAATAACTTTAAATATAATAGTAGGGATGAAATTAGCAATTTTTAATGAATTTAGGGACTTATTTTATGGAAAAAATAATTCAGAGACCTAATTTTCTCTAAGGTGATAGTCTAGGGACTAAATCGACACTTCATCCTATATATCTGTAGATTTATGAACATTAGCTAGGATGCAAAATTAATTTTCTTTCTTCTGAATAATGAGGTTTATGTCTGCTAAAGGGTAGTGGAAAACATTCTACAGGTGAAGTATTTGTGTTTGCACTTGGAAACACACAAATATTATATGTGAACCAGCCTGACGCAGTGAGGGACATTACAACGTGCACATCATTGGACTTGGGGAAACCAACGTATCAATTTAAAGAGCGCGGTCCTTTGCTTGGTCAAGGTATTTTAACCTCAAATGGCACCTCGTGGGTGCATCAGCGCAAAATCATTGCTCCTGAACTATACATGGAGAAAGTTAAGGTATATATGCTCTTAAGCAGTCGTTATTTAACGATCAAGGGTGTTGTAATATTTGTAGTGATGGTCCTTTGGTATCATATTAGAAATAAAAATAAGGTAGGGAAAAAAAAAAAAAATCTCTAGGCCACGTTCTTTGTTTTGATTGTGGTTATATATGGTCACCCTGCAGGGAATGGTTAACTTAATCACGAAGTCTACAATTACTCTGATAAATTCGTGGAACAGTAGAATCGAGGCAGAGGGAGGAATTTCTGACATGAAAATAGACAGCTACATTGGAAGCTTCTCTGGCGATGCTATCTCAAGAGCTTGTTTTGGAAGCAACTATTCCAAAGGGGAGGAGATATTTCAGAAACTAAAGCAAATCCAGGAGGCAATGGGGAGGAAAGCTTTTCTGGCCGGAATTCCTGGAATGAGGTACTCACTTGGGAAAACATACCCACAAGTGGGATGCTGTTGTAGCGGTATCTTAAGCTAATCATGTGCTACCAAACATTTTAACATTCCCATATAACAATAGTTGATTGGCTTTACTGTCATGGCATCCCCATTGCGGAGAAGTTCTCCTATGCCATTTGGTCTTCCTTATATAAATCCATAACCAACTATAAAAAATTTGGACAAATCTATGTTTATCACATTTATGTACATTTGCGGTAACATCTTTGGTAGGTATACAGGTAATCTGGCATATGTGACACATGATCTGCAAATGTTTTACATATAACATTATTCTATAGCTCAATACTTGTTTACCAGTTATCTTAATTAATTGCAATCTTGTTGCAGGCACCTTCCCACTAAGAGCAATAGGGAAGTTTGGGCCTTCGAAAAGGAGGCTAGCGCTTTGATACTGCAGGTAGTGAAGGAAAGGCGGGCAGCAGAAAATGAGAAAGACTTATTGCAAATTATTCTTGAGAGTGCTAAAAACAGTAACCTTAGCCAAGAGGCAACAGACCGCTTCATCGTTGATAACTGCAAGAACATATACTTGGCCGGGTATGAAACCACAGCAGTCGCTGCCACATGGTGCCTCATGCTGTTGGCTTCGAACCAAGAATGGCAAGAACGTGTGAGAGCAGAGGCCCTTCAAGTTTGCCAGGGCCACATTCCAGATGCTGATATGGTGCGCAACATGAAACAGGTATATGATCTTTGCATGATTACTGCATATGTTTTCTTATTAAGACATAGTAGTATATAACTCCCTGATTAAGATATATGTTTTACATGATCAACCTCTAGAATTTTTCATGTTCGAAAACTACATTGTTTTGAGATAATCTCAAGTTGGGAACATAAACTTGACTGTTTGAATGATCGATGTGTGGTGTGCAGCTAACAATGGTCATTCATGAATCATTGCGCCTATATCCCCCGGTTAGTGTGGTGTCAAGGGAGGCTTTCAAGGACATGAAGTTCGGGGACATTCATGTTCCAAAGGGTATCAATGTTTGGACAATGGTGATAACATTGCACACTGATCCGAAACTATGGGGACCAGATTCGTATGCTTTCAACCCCAAGAGGTTTGCAAATGGAATCACAGGTGCTTGCAAGCTTCCACAGCTGTACATGCCGTTCGGAGTTGGTCCTCGAGTGTGTCTTGGACAGTACTTTGCCATGGTTGAACTCAAGGTTCTGATAGCTCTCATTGTATCCAACTTCTCCTTCTCACTTTCTCCCAAGTACCGCCATGCGCCTACTCTTAGATTGGTCTTAGAGCCGGAACATGGTGTTGATCTCTTGGTGAAGAAGTTATGACTAGGAGAAGCTAAAATTGAATAAAAGAGGTTGGTTGGGTTCCCTCCTCTCTAGAGTTTAGTTTGTTCACTTGTAAGCTTTTTATTGACATCGCTGATGCCAATTGGGTTTTGTTTATTTGCACTACTGCTTGTAACTATATACTGAAATTTCATAATAACATGTTCGCTCTTCTTCTATCCACAGTCAATTTTTTTTAAATTTTTTTTTTTTTTGAGAAAATCCCCCGTCAATTTAAAATAGCTATATTGGTAGTCTATTCCATCAATTCAAAAATAACTATTGGACATCTCCAATTTCTTGTCCACACACAACTCTAAACTCTAGATCCAAATAGGAAATTGCCCACGCGCTGCTGCAAGTTTTGAAACTGCAATACAGGACATACATGAATCATTTTGACATAAAGGAACCAACTTCTCCCTCCAACTATATTCCAAATTCCTGAAATTCCCAAACATAATAAATCCATTAGCAATTTGTTGATGTTTCTTTGTTTTATTTAGTCTAAAGATTGAAATATATAAGGATGTACATATATATGGAGTAAAGAAGTGTTGCAACCATTAGCAATGGAGTAAAGATTGTGTTTTGTGTGTCACTATGTGAGAATTTTAATTCAATTTCTGAATTTTCATTGTTTTTCCTAGTAATTGAGGAGGGTGGTTAAGTTATTTGAATCTGTGGAAGTATCGATATGAACCAAAATGGAAAACAACAAAAAAACATAGGATTGAGTGCTCCCAGAGAATCAGCTTGAATATAAGGCCAGAAAGTATGAACAAGAGTGCTAGGTTCCCTAATAGACTAGTGAGGCAGTTGGGTGGATGCATGCGAAAGGCACGAGCATATAATAGCTTGGACGCAGTGTGCAGAGTTTGCAAACTCGTCTTAAAAATTGGCAAACAAATCAAAGCATGAAAAATTTAGACGAAGTAAGGCATTTGATTTAAAATCACAATAAACATAACCTGAATTACATCACTACAAACACAAACAAAGGAAAATGAAATATTCCCCATTTGGTGGGTAAGAAAACCAAAAAAAGTGAAGTAGTTTTTGTCCCTTAAGAAAATACACACAAAAATACAACCAGAAATTACAATTCCCACGCATCCAACAACAAATCAAGAAACCCCATGAGCCCATTTTCCTTCCCAAATTTTCTAGGAGACCAAAGAGACCCCAACCCAACCCTAATCCCCAAATTTCTCAATCAAACACCACTCAAACACCCATAAAAAACCAAAGAAATTCAAGAAAACGAAGAATGCAACAGTTTGTTTCTTATCAAAATCGATCCCTCTTAAGAAAGGGACTTATATGCACTAAACTTGAATACTAATTAGGAGGTAAACCCACAAATTTCTAATCAAAAAATTCCTAATCAATCAAGTTACCAACGTCCTAAATTCCTAATTAACCACAAAAAATTACACTGATCAAATTAAAACCCCGAATAAAAACGCACCTAATTATAAAACTATATTAAAAATGAATATTTCATCATTTTGGTATAGCAGCGTAAAGCCTCATTAAAACTATGTTTGGTTAAATGATTTATATATGCAAAAACTATGTTTGGTTAAACATTTTCAAACACAAAATGTATGACAATCAATTAGAAAAGTAACTGAACAAAAGAAGATACATATAGAGATTTGTATGATGAAATAGAAAATGGTTGGATTTTCTTTAGGGTCAAGTGCCAATTTAGTTCTTGAACTATCATCTCAGTGAAAATTAGGTCTCTAAATTATATTTTTGATATAATAAGTCCCTAAATTCATTAAAATTGCTAATTTCATCCCTACTATTCTATTCAAAGATATTTTATCCAATCTTTCGTCAACTTAAGTCACTTGACATACTTTAGAGTGTAATACTGTCATTTTCTCACCTATAAGACCTTAATATTTCATATAGATTGCGAATCTAAGGTCTAATTTACCCTCCAAAGTTAACTTCATACACTATTTCTTTATGAAAAATTACCAATTACCCTTCAATGTGTATCACATGCAAGTAACGTGACTTAAATTGACGGAAAATTGAATATAGTAGCTTCAAATCTAATATTAGGGATGTAATTGGCAGATTTTTATAATTCAACAACTAATTTTTCTAAAAAAAAATAGTTTAGGGACCTAATTTTCACTCAGGTGATAATTCAGGGACTAAATTGACAGTCCACCATTTTCTTTAACAAAAGAAGACACACGAGATTCAGTTGATGAAACCAAATAGAGATTTAGGTTCGAGGAAAAACTACATACCCCGCTGCAAAGTGATACATTTTACTACCCTCTATTTGTGATATACTACCAACCAAAGTATTAAGAAATTCCAACTCACCAGCCCCAACATGAACAAAAACCACATCATACTGGCTCCACTCCGCTGTCTTCCCTTCTTGAAAACCAAGCAGCTTAAGTATCTCAGATGCCCCAAAATCAACTAGTTGTTCAGCGTCACCTGGACCGTTTTTATGAAAACCGTCAATTGTGAACACGCTGAAACTAAGTTTGGTACCAAAAGATTTCAAACTTGAATTGTTTGTAAATGTAGCAGCTTTCATCCCCATGAACCTGAAGCGTTATAAAAAAAACACAACTTATTAACTATTTGACATTGATATGTTTTCATAGAAATTCCTTCTGCAAGCATCCTACAAAAACTTACTGCATTAGCGCAATCATTTCAGGCAAATATATATTATAGTTAATCCAAAAAGAAGAAATAATCACAAAGATTCTTAACAAATTAGCCAGCAAGAGAAGGTCACACATTAAACAAAAGAGCGAAACTCGAAAATATATACGATATAGAAAATGAAGATCAAATTACCTATGAGCTCCTTCAGCACAAAAACCAAGCAACCTCACTAGATTCTTACGGCGAACACCGCCAATCGCTTCCACGTTGACCTTAAACTCCTTCCCGGCTTGTCCCCTGAACGAAGCAAAGTAAAATCATCAAGCTGTCTCACTCCAAATTCCCCACTACAAAGCTCATGCAGCAGTTAGAACAAATTTAACTAACACCCCCAAACAACTTTTAGGAACAAGAATCATCAAATGTCTTATAAAATGTGTTGCAGTTAATCACCCTCAATTGCTTAATTACATACAATGAATTTGAAAATTTTGACGTTTCAATCAGCAATATATGTACAACGAACTTTTATAAATAACCAATTTCCCCCTGACGCTAGATTTTAAAAATTTTCATCCAATTTTTTACCCATTTTGATCATGCGGATAACACATAACAATTGTATAGGGACAAAAAGAATGGAAAATTGGCTGGATGAAAATTGAATGAAAATTTTTAAATCTAATGCTAGGGGGGAATTGGCTATTTATAAAATTTTAGGAGGATAATCGGCTAAAGTTAAAGTTTAGGGGAAAATTAACTAATTATAAAAGTTCAAGGGTAATTGGTTAACATTAAAGCTCAGGGGAAAAATTGGCACCTCAATACAAGTTTAGGGGGCAAACCGACAAATAGCTCAGAAAATACAGATGAACTTCATCACTTCCGATGGGACCAGAGGGCCAAAACCACTACTCTCGGGCTTGATTTCTAACGAGGGGAAAGGCGGCTGACACTATGTAGCTTCGCCATAAGTCATTCTGACTTGAGGTTGTGAGTATACCCTAGCGTTGGTAGTGAGAGCAACCAATCTTCTCCTAAATTTTTTCGAATAAAAAATATACAGCTTCAAAAGTTAAGATGGAAATTTGATAAAAGAACGACCATGGGGTTCTGCTCTTTAGATTTTACTTTGTTCTCTTGTTTTAAGCCTGTATTACTTTGGTTGTTCCAATTCCGTTTAGACTTGTGCATAATTTATGTTTTAAGCCTACGACAGTTTTCTCGTTGGATGTTTATCCTACTAGCCAGGGTTTTAGTGCTTTAGCTAGGGTTTAGGATCTCCACCAAGAGAGGCTACAGGAATTCTAAAACCATATGGATTTGAAGTCTTGTTAGACGGCATCAAGAAAGATTTGGGAGGTTTATTATCGACAGGACTCTAGCTAGGACCTCCAACGTGTATAAATATACAAGGGTCTCTCTGCACATGCTAACACACTCAACAAAAGGTTTTTTTTTATTCTCCATCCACCTTGGTGCTTAAGCAATCTTTTCTCGTGATCAGTGGCTGCTCTAGGTTTGTCAATTTATCATTAGTGTTTTAATTAAATATTCGATTGTCACTTAGTACTACGGTTTAGTGGTATTCCTCTTCACTTGTAAGTGAGAGTTATTAGGTTCGATTCTTGCTAATTTGAACCACATTATTATTAATTCATTGTGATGCTAAGCTCACCTCATCCCCTTAGTGTAGATAAAATCATTTGTTGAGAATTAATTATTAGATTAAGTATATTAGTTTAACATCCCTATGAATTAAATGTTGGCAATTATTATTATTATTATTATTATTATTATTATTATTATTATTATTATTATTATTATTATTATTGTTATTTTATTTGTTTTCTTGTGGGCCAAGGATTAGGATTCCTTACCGGTTTAGTTTATGATTTCTTACTCGTTATGTATTAGGATTTGCTTTAGTTTTCTTTATAAATAAGTTACCTTATAACTCGTACAATAATAAGCCATGACAAGATATAGTCATCTCGGCATATTTATAGTCTTTGTTTTTGTGGTAATAATGTAATATTCGTAGTATTGTAATCAATTTGTTTGTTGTTTTTCTGATGTTTAACGTTACTTCACGCAATTCTCATATGATGTATTCTAAATTGAGGATAAAGACAAAACCAAATGAACACAATTCTACTAGTAGATTTCCTATCCAACATATGCATTACCACAGGTAAATATATAAATAAATTAAAACGAATTTTGCAATTTAAATAGCATTTCTTATGCCACTTAGTACTACGGTTTAGTGATATTACTATTCACTTGTAAGTAAAACATCTTAGATCCGATTCTCACCAAAGGCGAATTTGAACCTCATTATTGCTAGCCCATTATGAAGATAAGCCTTGTCACTTAAAAGATTGGATTTTCGCCCAGAAGCGGTTAATGCACAAGGAGATAACTTATTTTTGAATCCATGATTTAGCTTTCATTTAAGGGTTTCGACCCCCTCACCCTTAATGTATATAAATATCGTTTGTTCAAATTATATATATACACACACAAGATAGTAATGCATTTATTCATCAGAATGAATAGATATAACTAAAAATTGGAACAATAATACAAGAATATTCATCATGTTGCAGTCATGTTTAGAATAGGAATGTGATTGTGTAAATCCTAGGAAATCTGGGAATGTATCTTATATTCATATTAGGAGTAGATTACCTATTAAATGTTGTAATCCTAGCTAAAGGGAAAGGTTTTACCTATTGTACTACTATAAATAAAGGCATAATGGGTGTGAATCAAACACACCTCACAATTAAATCACTCTCTTCTCCCTCAATATTGTCCGCCCCCTCCCTCTTCCTTTAAACCCTAGATCATTCAATCAAATAGGCCTACAACACATCAATGTTAGAATACCAAAAAAAGGAACACCTTTTAGGATTGGGAAATTAAACATTAGATTTTTATAAAATTTACTTGGATGTTGATGATTGGATTATTATTATTAAGTATCTATTAAGCTGCTTCTTTCCTATTGGTGACACCGATTTGTGATCAATTACAAATCTTTGTGATTAATTTATGCCTACTGCATTTACTTAAGGGAGTGTCCGCGGCACATAAAAACAGAATGCTCTAGAGAGTTCAAAGTTACACGATCGGTCATCAGCGTATCAAAAAGTTATATGATCGGAAAGTTTCAAGGCAATGGCGAAGGACCTTAACATCTTTTCTATGGTTCATCTCAAGATCGGAGTAAAAGAGTTTTGTACAACGGTTGATACTCTAACTCGGCGTGAGCCTAATTCAATGCTTGCTGCAATGTTTAGCGGACGTCATGTTGTCCATCAGGACCCGGAAACGGGATATGTTTTCATCGACAGGGATGGCAAACATTTTCGGCACATCCTTAACTGGTTAAGGGATGGAGTTGTTCCCTCGCCGGAAGAATTTTCCAAATATTCGGAACTTATAAGAGAGGCGGAGTATTATCAACTACTCGGTCTAAAAGATAATATACAGGCTTTTCTAAACAAGAGGAAGGATGATGATCAAAACACTGAAAAGTTGGGTGCTGAACTAACGCGCATTGATATCATCAAATCATGTATAAAATCAAATGAGAGAATCCGGCTTCGAGGCGTTAATCTCTCCGGCCTTAACCTTTCGAACTTGGACTTGACAAACATTGACTTCAGTTGTGCATGTCTGAGAAATGTGAGTTTCAAGGGTTGTGATCTTCGAGGTGCAAATTTTAATCACGCGGATGCTGAGGGTGCCATCTTTCAACATGCTAGTCTGCAAAGTTCTGAATTTATTGGGGCGAATCTCCGCAACGCTTTATTTGTTGGTGCTAACCTTTTCAACGCAAATTTGATATCTGCAGAGCTCCATGGTGCTGATCTTACAAATGCAAATTTAGAGGCGGCCAGTCTGGATAAGGCTTACTTGATGAGTCTTTAGATGATGTCCAATACATATTTTAAGGATGCAAATCTTGAAGGAGCTTGTGGAGAAAATGTGAATTGGCAACATTTCGGGGATGCACAATTTTCTGGTGTTATTCATTGACGCGTTTAAATTTTCTTGGTCCTCTCATTAGGCTTGTTTTTCTTTACCTGTATGTGTCTCGTTGGAGCCACAAACCTAAATTTTGTATGAACTTTTATTCAGCCCTTTGAATTGAATACGCCGATTTAGGGGTGTATTCAATTGGAAATTTAAGAGATTTCAATAAATTTGTAGAGATTTTATGTAAAATTTTAATTCAATTCACTCGAAATCTCATGGAAAGAGGAGGGATTTGTGAATGCTTAAAATACATTACAAAATCTCTCAAATTCCTCAACTTTTTCAAATTCTTTAAAATAAAATTCTAATTGATACACCCGGATTTATAAGGATTTTAATAAACTATGTTAAAATCCTGATCGAATGCACATGGAATTTTAGAGAATCATTTAAAATCTTGATTGAATACCCTTAGATTCATTAAAAGAATTGAAATCCCTTAAAATCCTAATTGAATACACCTCCTTAATAACTGCTAGTGACACACGTTGTTATTTGCATGAACTTGTCACACCACGTCGTCGGACAAACTGAGAGATGACACTAGTTTCACTCAGCTATATCTGTTGGAGAAGAAGGTGCAGTTTAATCATATCATTTATAACATTAAAGAGAACTTGGCTCTCTAGAATTTAGTTTTGTTAACTTGTTCCAATTCCGTTTAGGATTTGATCATATATGTTATAGGGTGCCTTCGATCTGTATCCAGTTCATCAACCCTTTCACGTTTTCATAAACAGACCGTAGAATTGTTACATAGAAAGAGAAAGCTATGAACATGGAGAAGAAAGCGTCATCTTCATTTATCGGGGCAAGTCTCCGTTTAGGCATAATTCAATACTTGCTGCAATGCTGCAACGTTTAATGGACGTCGTGTTGTCTCGTCCATCAGGACCCTGAAAAGGGATATGGTTTCATTCGAAGGGATGGCATACTTGTTTCTCTACACAAGATGGAGGAGGATGATCAAAACACTGAAAAGTTGGAATTTATGCGCTTTGATATCATCAAGTCATGTATCAATCAAACGGAAGAATCCGGCTTCGAGGCGTTAACCTCTCTGGCCTTCACCTTTCGAAACTGGACTTGGCAAACGCTGACTTCAGTTTTGCGTGTCTGAGAAATGTTTGTTTCTCATGGTGTGATCTCGAGGTGCAAAATCCGGTTATGTGGACGCTGAGGGTGAGGGTGCAGTCGTTGAAGATGCTTTGCTTGGAAGATTGTGAATTTAGAGGTGCAAATCTCCGTGACGCTTTATTTGTTGATCTGCTAACCTTGACAACGCATATTTGATACCTTAACTAACTGATACCTAAAGCCTAAAGAGTTACAGATGTGAGCGTAGCCACGATAAATAAAGTAGATATACCTTTTTGATATATTAGGAAGACCAAAATTTTAAATTAAATTTGCAAATCAAATGATGTGTTACCAATAAGAAATAAGCACGGTAATCATCGCTTGAGTAATAATTCAATCATCAACAACTATTGTAGACATCAAAATTTCGCTGAAATGAATGTTGACCAATAATTAAAATTTCAACGTTCACGTGTCACATAAATTTTACATGTAGCGTGTGATTCAACGAAAAATCGAAATAAATTGGAAAAGTCATCAAATATGACACGTGTCAATACCTGGCAGAAATGATTTATTTCATCTGATTATTTAAATCCAAAAATCAAGTTTTGGAATTCTATAAATAGGAGGCCAAGGCATTCATTTTGAGGGGGAAGAAAGAAAAGAAGAAGGAAAAGAAGAAAAGAAGGAAGGAAGAAAGAAAGAAGCCTTGAAACTCTAAAGCTCTCAAGCAAATCCCGAAGGATCAAGAAAGCAATCTTCGTTCTTCGTCAAATCCACCTTCAAGATCAAGCCCCGACGGCCCTTGAAGAACTTCCACCAACTCAAGATCAAGCCCCGACGGCCCTTGAGGAAAGTGTTCATCGTTCATCATCCGTTCAATTCAAGATCAAGCCCCGACGGCCCTTGAAGAACTTCAAATCCTCCTTCAAGATCAAGCCCCGACGGCCCTTGAGGAAAGTGTTCATCGTTCATCATCCGTTCAATTCAAGATCAAGCCCCGACGGCCCTTGAAGAAAGTGTTCATCATTCATCATCCGTTCATCCTAAGATCAAGCCCCAACGGCCCTTTGGATCAACAACCTCAACAAACTCATACACCCATTCTTCAAGATCAAGCCCAACGCCCCTTGAAGTTCCATTCATCAACTGTTCATCCTTAGATCAAGCCCCGACGACCCTTTGGATCAACAACTCATCCACAAACCCACACCCTACGAAGATAGAATCAGAGAACCAAATTACAAAGAGATTGTAACCCCAAAATCTTTAATACAAAAAATATATTTTGTACACGTATTCTTGTCTCTTGTGTTTCAGGAATTTCTCGTGTTTACAAATTTGGCACGCCCAGTGGGACAATCTCTACCTCTCATCTCTATCCTCAAATCATCGAAAAACGCAAATGGCATCAAGAAAGGATCAAGCTGTTCCTGCAATCAAAGCAAAGAACAAGAACATCATCGCCGCAAGTGGTGATATTTCGGGCATCATAACCCGAAGTAAGGCAAGAGATCTTTTTGCCGCAGCTTCCGCCCCTGCATTAACTCTGTCAAAGGAACAAGAGCACCTGAGGTACGAGCATGTGATCACCCTAGCCTCGCTAAGGGCATCAAAAGGGGAGAGCCCAAAGAAATACTCAGAGTCCCTATTCTCCGACGCTGATTCGAGCGGCAGTACAACCATGCAAGTCATGACCACTGGAGCAACTTCAATCGAGGAGCAGCTAGCTCAGATGAATGAAGCAATTGCAAAGCTCACACGGACTGTGGAAGAGAAGGACTTGCAGATTGCCGCACTTGTCAACCAACTAGATGCGCTGCCCGACGTGAAAGTCTACCCAATTGTTGGCCTATTAAAGAAAGAAGGCGACGAAGAAGAGGAGCCACCAGCGGAGAAAGTCGAAGAGAAGCCAAAGCTAGACCAAGCAACAACATCCATGGGATCTCTCTCTATCCAGCAGCTACAGGAGATGATCGCAAGCACTATCAAGACACAGTACGAAGGAAGCTCGCATGACTCCGTACTGTACTCAAAGCCTTACTCCAAGAAGATTGATGCTTTGAAGATGCCAAGGGGTTATCAGCCCCCAAAATTTATGCAGTTCGATGGAAAAGGCAACCCGAAGCAACATGTCGCCCATTTCATTGAAACTTGCAACAATGCTGGGACAGAGGGAGACTACCTCGTCAAACAGTTCGTGCGTTCGCTAAAAAGTAACGCTTTTGACTGGTACACTGACCTCGAACCTGAGTCTATCAACAGTTGGGACCAGCTAGAAAGGGAATTCCTCAACCGCTTCTACAGCACTCGTCGTACTGTAAACATGCTAGAATTGACCAGCACGAAACAGTGTAAAGATGAACCTGTCGTCGACTACATAAATAGATGGCGTTCTTTAAGTCTGGATTGCAAAGATCGGCTTTCTGAAACCTCTGCCATTGAGATGTGCGTTCAAGGCATGCAGTGGGGACTACACTACATCCTTCAAGGCATCAAACCACGAACATTTGAGGAGTTAGCCACCCGCGCCCATGATATGGAGTTAAGCATCACTCGTCATGGGAAGAAAGAACAGATCGCCGACTACAAGAATGACAAAGTTTTGGGGCCAAAGGTGGATAAGGCTACGTGGAAACCCACCAAGGAAGCAATGGCGGTCAACACAACTCCAGTCAAAATCCCTACACGAAGCAAGGCGATTCAAACCGAAGCTTTTCGTGATCAAGAGATACGTAGACGCACTTTGAAGGAGCTTGAGGAGAAGACTTATCCATTCCCCGACTCTGACGTGGTTGCCATGTTGAAAGACTTGCTTGACAAAAAGGTGATCGACCTACCTGAGTGCAAATGGCCAGAAGATATGAACCGTACTGACAGTCCAAGGTACTGTAAATTCCACCGCTTCATTAGTCATCCGACGGAAAAGTGCTTTGTGCTAAAAGATCTCATCATGAAGTTGGCTCAGAAAGGCATCATCGAGCTAGATCTTAATGATGTGGTGAAGTCAAACTATACCACCGTCACTTCTGGCTCTTTGAACTCAAAATCTTCACCTCAACCGCTGGGGGCATGCTCCAAAACCATGTCAGTCAAGTCAAGTGAAGTTGAAGGATGGACTTATGTCACTCCAAAGAAAATGCACAAGAAACATGGGTCTCCTCCACAAGTTCACCAATCGGAAAGGGGGCAAAGCAACTACCGTCAACCTTCAAGGCTACATGAAAGTGTTGAGGATGATGAAGTTATGACACAAAGGTCGTCCGTTGCCATCACGATGCGCGATTTCTTCCCCAAAGACTTCTTCAATCACTCAGTCAAGACTCCTTGCTATAAAGATTGCAAAGAATGCTTCTCTAAGATCGTTTGACAAATTCAAAGAGCTCCTCGTTCGCACGAGCCTAAAAGGCGACAACCAAAGCTCCTCGTTCGCACGAGCCTAAAAGGCGACAACCAAAGCTCCTTGTCTGCACGAGCATAAAAGGCGACAACAAACGCTCCTTGCCTGCATGAGCTAAAAATGCAAACGGCACCAAGACGCTCCTGGCCCGCAAGAGCATAAACTGTGTACGGCAAAATCATTATCAAAACCATCACTCATTTGAACTACGTTATGACTTGATCTCTTCTTTGGAAGAGTACGTAGGCAACTTGAAACTTCAAAACTTCAAGTACAGTCACATCAAAATAAATAAATAAATGTTTCATTAAAGAAAGTCAATTTTATTACAAAAGAAAAGAAAAAAAAAATATACATATGTTACTATGTATTAGAAAAAAATATGTTTTCTACTCAAAAAAAAAATAAT